CCAGGTTCAGGCCATGTAAATAGAATTAGCTAATTTCACGCTCGATCTCCCCCTGTGATAATTGACCTCTGGGACTGTGTGGAGTGTGTGTTGGGAGTTCAGAGGCCGGCGTAGTATTGGAGGATATCCGTTCAGTCGTATGTCTGTGTTTCCCAAACATATGTGGCTCACACGTGTTGGCTGTGTGTCGGGTTTGAGTTTAAAGCTGCCGCTTCAATGAACTGTGGTCCAGACACTTTCCTGAGGTGGATCTCAGTTCTGGAAACATACAACCCAGCTGCTGTCCAGTGAAGTGTATAGATGGGATAGATTAAAGAATCTACAAGGGACTGTTTGTCACAGCAGCAATAAACTGAGCAGCAAAAATGCTATGAAATGATCCTCAAAGCAAATATAACTTAATATAACCTGTCTTAATGAGAGGTATTCCTTGTAGCTGAAGTTCTTTTCTCAGCAGACATGCTTTAAGAGAACACAGGGTTATAAACTAATAATCCTCATTAAATGCCATTATCCAGGCTTTTTGATACGTTGAAGGGTTTCTACTCATGGAGTTGATCATGACCCACCTACACTATAAAATAAAAACCACAGCAGTCTCAGAATGAGTAACAATAACTATGTTAAAACAATGTAAAGCATATTATATGCTATACTCTATATTTACACACTCATTCTAATTATAGTTTAAAATTAATTTAGATATGAAGTTTCAAAATTGACTTTCTTTTTACTTGATGCTTCTGTTTGTTGTGCTGTGAAGCTGGCGAGTGTATGAAGCTAACCCTTGGCTAGAGTGACTTGCAATGACATTGTTGCCATCTAAGTACCTTTGTTGCTATATTAGGTGACTATTTAGACCCCTTTAGCTACTTTTTCTTTTCTAAAAGTGACAAGAGTGAAGGTTAGGGATGTTTCTCTGTGTTTTATTGTGAGTTTAGTGACTTTAGAGCCGCAGTTGTTCTACCATTGCTGTATTATCTCAGCTAGCGCTGCTATGTGTTGTTTCAAAGGACACAGGCTGAAGCCCTGCATGCATTCAGAGATTAGAGAATATATGAAGAAAATAATCCTTTTTTTTTTCTTCATCTTTGTTTAGTGCAAAAAAGAATCAGAGAACGATATAACAGTTTATCTGTTGACTCGTTTTGGTTCAGTAAACGGAAAATGAAAATTGTTGTGTTTTTTGTTTTTGGTTTCAAACGACAAAACTAACTGCCTGAATTTACACAGACCTTGATTACTTTAATTTAAGCCATTTTTATGTTTAAAGCATCATTCCTCCAAATCTCTATTTGATCAATTTATTACTTTTAATATAACATTTTATCGAAAAAGAAGATGGAAAAATATAGAGAGTTAAATATGTATGTTAGATAGTGACGAATTTGGGCATATCATCAAGGTGAAGTGTTTTGTTATGGAGAAACCTGCTTGTTTCTAATCAATTGTTCTCAAAACTAAATCTGCTTTCTTTGATGCATTCTTTGGCAGTTTATCATATTTCATAAGATGTGCTCATCAATCTTAATGAATCAACAGGGCTTTAAATCCAATGGTTGTCAAACACTTGTTTATTTAAGCAGCCCACTACCTTAGGAGTTAGCAATGCTAACAATACTTAGCTCCATAGCAGGGGTCACCAATCTTTTTAAGGCCGAGGGCTACTTCATGGCTACTGGATCATAGGAAGGGCTACCAATTGTGACCTATGAACAAGAGGGATCAGTGCTCACCTGAACCTCATCCACAATAAAACTTAATTTGATTGTTGACATTCAATTTGTGATTTTCTTTTGAATATTTTCATTTTGAAATCTATAATATGATGAAATGATCTAAAGACAATTAAAAAGAAGAGCAACAGAATAAAAAATAATTCAAACTTAGCCCACTGGTGAGTTGTTCTGTTTTCAGAAGAAGGTGATGGCACCACTTGTGGTCCTTGAACGCCCCTTGGAGCCCCCAGGCACCTCGTTGGTGACCCCTGCTCTATAGAGAGCAGCAAAAAATATTCCTGCATATTAAGCCCTTGAAAACTGTCTGGTAATTCAAAGTTTTCTGTTACATAAGAAACAGCAGCAGGACTAAAATTATATATATTTTGTTTTAAATTAAAATATGAGATGGTTTTGTAATTGTTTCAGATTTGAATGCAATTACTGATGCACTGTAGAAGGAGGGTTGTTATATTTTTGTTGAATGTTTTCACTTTAAGTGTTCCAATTTTGGGGTTTTCATCCCCTAGTGTTTAGATATCCAACAGCAAGGGTATATTTTTGTTAGTTTGGTTAACGTCTGTTTAATAAAAATAAAATAAAACATTTTTTCCTGCATTTTTAAATAACAAATCTCATCATCACCAGTCCTAGAGCAGCTGACGGGTTTAATGAATGAGTGACCAATGAGCGGCTGAGAAAACTGATCCAGTTCTGCTGATATTCAGAGATGAAAAATAATTTCTCCAAGCTATGGAGCTGTTTAGATTATAAGTGATGTTCTTATTTTATTAGCTGAAACTCTTCCAGCAGATGCTCAATTAAAGCAGTGGATGCGTTTGTCCTATTTGCTGTTTCCAAACATGCATTTTTGTGAGATGAATGGATGTGATTAAAGACAGAGGGCATGAATGTTTGTTTCTTATTAATCACCTGAAGGGCTGTTGCTCTGTGACCATTTGTGTCAGCCAGACACATCAAAGTCTCGTCAGGACTCATTTGTGTAATGAAGCCCTTCTGTACAAACATTCACTTCCCCTCTTTGGACTCTGCGTTTCGTGATGGTGAGAAGGTAAATTTGTGCTCCCAATGTAACATCTCGTCAAATCTGTGTTAAAGGATTAAAGGAAAAGGAAATGAAGTCTAATGAAAATTGTCTTTTAATGATTAGGAGAAAAAAAAACATGTTTCATCACAGACTTTCCCTGCCGGTTCCGAGCTTTACCTCCGTCCGTCCGTCCGTCCCCCTTTGATCTGCTTGCTTCATTGTGCAGGAATGCAGACGTGGAGGTCGAGACGGAGGCCGCGGCTAATCGCTGAGATTACACACGTCTGTCTGCTCAGACACCAACACATGTTCTGGTTTTTTTGAATTAATGTCTTGTCATGTACTTCCTTATCCGCTGCTGTAATTTTTGTTATTCTACTTTATCATCCTAACTGCACCTGAGCCCAAAGTTCATTAAGGGATGCTCTCTCTATTGGTCTCTTTTTTGCAGGTTAGTTTGTTTTTTTACAACCAAAATTGCAATTTTACTTTGAAGATGTTTCACTTCAGGGTTTCGGTGTTTTCATGATGATTTAAAGCTTTATTTTGTTCAGAGTACGTCAACAAAGACTTTAGTGTCACAGCTGAATATAAAATTCTTACTTCTACTCTTGTAAAGCTGCAGCTCTTTCTTCCCTTCTGTGGGGTGGATAGCCTAATTTAAGAGTATCACAGCCACCTAATCCCTGGAGTGAGAAAATTAGCTTCTTACTTCTGTTAGTTGTAAAATTACCAAAACTGAGTGGCTCTTAGATTTGAAAAGTGCGTTGTTTTTTTTGAAAATTGCGAGTTATATTGCAAAAACTGTAGTAGTTTGACACACATAATGGAGGATACCCAATTTTATATTTACAAAAATATAAAATGGGTTCAGTTTGACAGTTGTTTTACAGATGTTTATATTTGGTCAACTTTAATGAAACTGTTATTAACTGATTCGACTCCGATCAACACTTTTTTAGCCTGTTTGGGCTGACAAACATTTCCTGTCAGAGAGATTAAAAACAGACAGTTGTTTGAACTCTGGTTCAAACCAACAAAATCCAGATCAGCATTTTCCAAAAAATTTATTTTCTGATTACAATTCATCATAATTCAAATGGGGATCCATTTAATCACAGTTGCTTTAAAACTACCAGCAGTGTAGGGCTGGGCATTTAATTCCATTTGTATTATAATTGCAATTTGAGAAAATCCTATTTCATAATTGGAGACGCTCAATGAATCGTTACGTTACATTAACTCAGAGTGAGCTGCGTTACTGTGTTTCTCTTTAATGCAGCAGTAAAGTCCTGCATAGCTGGAAGCTGAACAGAGAGGATTGAAGGCCATGAAAACAATGAAACCCCGGGGCCATACAAGGATATGCCTGTGGTTAAATAAGAGGAAATAAATGAAATAAAATTGCAATTTGATATTTTTTAAAAATTATTGGGGGGGCAAAATCACACAGCACCAGGTCACAGTTTAGTTCAGGCCATTGCAGTGCAGTTCAGTATGATCCAAATATAATTTAGTTATCTTTAAAACAACAAATAAAGCTCATTGCAAGGAGTTAGAATTCAGTCAAATGAAACGATTGCACAAGATTTAAGGCATATCATCAATATATACTTGCTAAATCAATTCTTTAATATTCCAACCTAAGTAGATTATTCACTACTGACAAATCTGAGATTAAGACAAATTCTGTATTTTTAGTCTGATTAATGTTATCACAGTTTAATATTTTAAACGGATCAGGTTCACCTAATTGACAATTTTCTGCTACACCCACAGCGCTCTCTCCAATTCATTAGACATATTTCCAGTTCCATTCAAAATGAGCTTACTGCCCTTTAATTCAGTCAAATAATCCATATTAAAATATATATTTTTAAAAGGATATTTAACCCCCCCTTCATTTATAGTTCATTGCGTTCAGTATTTTTCAATCATTTATTTTACCTACAGTTTTAAACACAAGTCTCTAATTTAAATTTATGTAACTTACAAAACTGTTAGATTATTAGATTCTGATCTATATTTAATATAATGCTTATATTTTGATGAAATATAAGCATTAAAATTCAGTTTAAGGTCGGGTCTGCCCAGTTCAAATAGAACAGCTCTCCACTATTCGGCCACAGATTTGCATTTGCAGCCGAGGGCTGAACAAAGCCCCTGCATCAGAGCCCTGTCCCACTCTTTGATCAGTGCATAAAACACATCCTCCGTTTCTCTGTCTTCCTCAGGGGAAAGTAGCCCAGACGGCCTGCATGTCGGCCTGCAAGCACATCTCCACCTCCCTGATGCAGCTGCTGCTGGACCCAGAGGTCCGGCAGATCTCCATCGGAGCTCTGCACCAGCTCAACGTCGACCTCAACGAGTGTGAGAGTGAGTGTCCACGCTCGTGGCTTTTCAGGCTTATTGTTGCTCAAACAGGTTACTGGCTAAATTATCCTTTTGCTTTTTCACAGCAATGTCATAGTTATTGTTTATTTTTATCTTGATTTTATGTTATAGGAGTACACCTTTCAAAATGATTATTTCACAAAATAAAAGTAGAATTTAATAAAAATAAAAAAATCATTTTTCAAATTTGCCAATGTCAAAATGAATCAAAAACTCCAACCGGTCCTTAATAATCCTGTGAATTTTATATTTAATTTTTAGGTAACATTCATCATAAACGATAAGCAGAGCAAATATCTACTTTAACCTGTTCGCTTTGATTCTTTTAAACCATGAAAGCTCTTATTTTTAAGGTCTTTTTATTTATTTTTTTAACTTCTGCAAAAACATTACAAACAAAATAAATCTTCTGGAAAAAACGCTTCTCTGCTAATGTAATTTAGTAAAGCTAGCAGCAAAACATTTAAAATGACATAAAATATTTCCGTCGTCGTGATGGACCTTAATTATTTTGAATCATTTGGTGCCTCGATTAAGTGCTAATTTTTTTTTAAGTATTTGTACTTTGTTTGTTTTTTTATTTATCCTGATTTAGTAATTATACAAAACAGTATTTATAGATGAAACTTTTATTGAGCCCTGTCCCCCAGTTGAAGTTGTTGTCATATTATGTTATCTAACGATACCCCAATAGATGTACTCTGTGTAATTTTAAAACAGAGTTTATGTTCAATCACTCTTTTAAATTCCTTTTTTTTTTTTTTGCACATATATCTTGGTCTTTATTTGCATTTTTTTCATAGAGCCAAGTAGACTAAGCAGTAGGAAAGAACAAATGACAGCAAAACAGAATATACAGATCTGTTTGGATAAATGATTAATCAGTATTAAATTAAAAGATTTTCCTTCTATGAATATAAAGAAAGAAAAAAAAGTAAAAAGCTAAATCATTATGTTTTATTATGTGCTTCAATAATGAAAAATGCACACTCAATATTTTTACATAATTCATATTTGGACTACAAACACATTGTTCTTGTTTTGATTTTATTAATTACTGGATTGTTCTCTTTAAGTTTGTCATAAATTTCTCTGCCATCCTTCAGGAGGGCGTGGTTAAACTGTTAGAGATCAGCTGATTGGTTAACTGTTTTATCGCTTCAATTGGATGTTAGCCTTTATTAGAAGGAGATAGTAATATTTTATTATAGGGTTATTTTTGCAGCCTAATAAACATTTTACAAAATAAATACTTAAATAATTATTTTTAATTTACAATATATTCAAGTTTGAACTACTTCAAAATTTAATAAAGTAATAAAACTTTTAGTAAAAATGTTTAAAAATAAATAAAAAATAATGCTATATTATTTTAATGATTATTACATTTTTAAACTTGCGAGATTTTACCAATTATGTTTTCTTTTTTTTACTAAACCTTCAATATTTGATATGGAAAAGTTAATTTTCTTAATAGTAAATCCCAGTTTTAGAATTTTTCAATGTAATGTGAAGATGATTGCAATTATGTTGATGTCTATTGTGTGTATTTTGTACTTCTGCTTTTCCACAATTTTTCTTTGATCTCATGTCTTTTCCTGCACTTTAAATCACAAAGTCAACCAACTAATTTTTGTGGTTATTTCTATTTCACATACCAATCTAACACTGGTCGACTAATGCATCTTTAAAATGAAAAAATGAGAAAAAATTAAGATTTACTCTAAATCAAAAGCACCTCAAGTGCTATATTTGCTCTTAAGAGCACAGGGGGCGCTGTGGAACAACCAATTAAAGCGTTAGAAGAGCGCATCATCTTCTTAACCCCCACCCGGTCTCTCTGCTCCCTCCTCCTCCTCCCATCTCCCTTATTTGTGAGACTTTTAGGACTCAGACTTTTGGCAGATAATGGATTTGCAGACTTGAAAGAGTGTGAGGCGTGATTGGCTCGGTCTGTACATGATCAAGGTTCTTAGAGTCACAGAGCGGGTCACACTGTGTGTTTGTGACCTGATGTGAAGTGACATGCGTGCAGAGCTGCAGCGCCGCCGCAGAGTTGCTTCTCTGTGGAAAAGGGGTTAGGAAGTTTGACTGACGATACAGTAGATGGTCACACGAGAAGCGAATTTAAAGAAAGGAAGAAAATACACAAGTAATGAGGGTTAAAAGAGAGAAATATTTACTAGCAAAGACTTGATGAGAAGTTGGGATGTGGCAAAAAAATATTATTGAGCTTATCAAGCGGGGAGGGTTAAACTGTAAAGACCTAGACATTGAAAGGAAAAGCAGAGTTTTTCAGAGTTATCACTTAAAGGAAGTTAAGGGTTTAAAACAGTGGGGGGTGTTGAACTGGATAAAAGAGTTTAGGGAAAAAAGGATCGAATAAGAGGTAGGTGTGAACTTAATGAAATAAAAAAAAAGCAGACAAAAGGACAAAAAAGTGAAATAGATGACTGAGAATGGAAATTAAATGTACTTTCACAAAGGAGAGGAAATGAAAAGGCACAAAAAAGGGATTAAAAGTTAAATTAACTGGATTGTGACTGGTTGGAAGAAATTGAGGCATTGCCAAGAGACTGAAAGATGGTAAACCGGGGGGGGGGGGGGGGGGGGGGGGGGGGGGTACAGAATGCAGTGAACCCCCCCTCGCTATAACACCGCTCACCTTTCACGGCCTCGCTGCTTTACGGATTGGCATGGTGTTCTCCATTCTGATTGGCTAAACAGTCTCCATGGCTCTTCTCTACCTGGGTGTCAATAATGTTAGGTTTAATATTTTCATAGACATACACGTAAAACAGCTTTGCCATATTTAAGTTTGCAAATTTTCTCCAAAACCCATAATGTCGTCAAAATGTTCTGCACTGACAAAAGCACTTGCGGACTGGCCTAATAGGCAGAGGAAGATGCGAACTATCGCAGAAAGCTTAAACTTCTGGACATGCTAAAGGAGGGTAGAAGCAGTGCGGCTGTTGGTCGCCCTTACGGAATGAAGGAATCTTTCGTTCGTTCCATAAAGAAGGAGGAAAATATCATAAGGACGACAGCAGCAATACATTTTGATAAGGATTCAAAAAGGGTTGCAACTGTCCGCGACGAGAGGATGGTAAGGATGGAGTCGGCCTAAGCTTTGAGGATAAATGACTGCAGAAAAAAGAACAATATGCTGGATACGAACATTATCTGCACAAAAGTTAGAACACTGTATCAAACTGGCAGCAACCGGACAGGGAAGAGGAGGAGGATGCAGATACTGGACCATCAACGAGTGCTGTTCACTCCGTACGAAGCGCATTTAATACTAACAACAACGGCCTCGGACGGCCTCTCCGATCACGCTGGAGCAGAAGCGATTGTGAACAATAGATTAAAAGCGATCATTGAGGACGGGGGATATAAGTCTGAACAAGTTTTTAATAATAATTGTAAAAACATAAAGGTTACTTCTTTACGGATTATGCCTTTCTTTTTGGAATGTAACCCACACGTAAAACAAGGGTTCACTGTAAAGAAAATTGAATTATCAAAAAATTTATACGATTAGAGGAACAAAAATGGTAAATAAAAATAAAAATCCAGTATGAGGTTCGACGGTCATGGAAGGAAACACCTTTAGCAGCCCAGAAAAATTATATCATAACTACAAACTGTGTGTTTTATGAGTATTTGATTTGATAGACCAACACGGAGAAGTGCAAAAGTACCCAATGGCAGCTGCTAATTTTGTTTATACTAATGTCAACCCAACTTTAATTCATTTGACTTTAGCATTTTCATAAATCTGCAAAGGAGAAGTGTAAAGCAGGGCAAGCTAAAGCAAAATTATTCTAAGCTTTAATTATCAGGAACCTGATCACACCAGCCACATGTTGAAACATGGTGGTGAGAGTATCATGGTGTGGAGATATTTTCTCCTCAATGAGGAGGATGGAAGACTATCCTAAAAGAAAACCTGTTTGAGACTGCAGTAGAGACAGCTTAAGTAGAGGAGAAACAGGAACATCTTTAGTTTCTGCAGATGTGTGAAAGCTAGAAGCCGTTTTCTTTAGCACTTTGGGCGCCGCAGTCGAGCAGATTATTACCAAACTCCATCAACAGTGAAATGTAGAAGAAGATAAGGTGAAAATGTGTACAAGTAGTAAAAGTTATCCGGCGTGTCTTTAAGAGGGTTGGAGCCGCTTTCTTGTGTCACTGCAGAAGATGGCAGGCATGTAATGAGCTCTGTAGTGTGAGAGGTTGTCCAGAGGTGACGGAGATTCATCCTCCATCCCTGCTGACGTTGGCTCGCCAAACGGTCGACCCCGGGGAACCCACCCCCCCACCCCATTTCCCTAGCTTTCAGAGGTCACACCGTTGTTCAAACACACTCAGGTGAAATCCCCGTCTCACACCCTGTGTTGTTTGCCTTCACACATGGCTCTTTCTTTCTCACACACTCATTCTGTTGTTGAGCCAGCGACATGACTCTAACTCCCTTACCCTGCACCCCCCCCCCCCCCCCCCCCCCCCCCCCCGCCCCCGGCTGTCGTTCGTCTGCCAATCTGTCCCGATGCATAGCGAATCCTACCAGGTCTTTCATTATTCCCGTTTTCACCCTGTTTTTTTTATTTTTCCCCCATCCTCGTCTTCCTCCTCCTCTCTTCCCTCTCTCCGGGGGTGGACTGGTGGGGGGGCGGGTTTGTATTTTCCCACAGGTTTTGCCAGAGCCGGCCCGGTCGCAGGCTTCCAGGGTGACACGTTGCTTCTGGCCTTCAGTGACTTGAGACAAGTAGGTCTTTGTCTGCCTCATGGTCTTCGCTCCTTCGTTTTCTCTTACTCTTCCTCATCGTCTCCTCGCTATCTTTCTTCTGCCTCCTCCTCATCGTCCAGCGCCTTTTTTGGTTTTCAACGCTGTGCTTGATTTGTTTGTTTTTTTTGGTTGTTTTTATCCTTCATCTTTCTACATTTAAATTCGTCTTAACTTTTGAAATCCCTGGTGTATAATTCTTGCTTTTCTTTGTATTTCTTATCATTTCTGTCTCCTAAGTTTTAGGTCGTTAAAAGTGTCTTTTACAAAACATTAAATTGGGAGGAAGTCAATGTAAAAACTGCAAAATATTTAAGGTGATGGACCTGATTAGGTGCTCTATAGAAATGCTTAGCGTCAACTATTTTCCCTTTAGTTTGGTTTGCATCAAATCATTCATTCAATTTAGCTAAAAAGGTAAAAGCACATAAAAAAGGGGGATGTAGAAAAATGGCTTTTATGAAAATTTCCTGTTTATTTCATGGCTTTATTTGGAGTCAAATGCGTCTTTAAACACTGTATCGCTTTAACCCGTTTGTATTCCTTCATCCCTTTATCATTTAGTCTTCATAACGGGTATTTATTCATTTTGGCCTTTTTTCCCCCACACCCCTCTTTTTTCCCCAATTTATTCAAATTTTGAAAGTTTCTGTATCAAGTTGTCGGACTTAATGAACTTTGTATGAGTTTTGCTTTTACAAGGAAACGCTGTGAAAAATTAGTTCTTCATACTTTTATCTGACCTCCTTTATTTAGATGTTAGAACTGGATATTCTAATAATAAAAACATAAAATCATAGGGAAAAAAATAGTAGACTATCTGCTAATTTTGAAAGAAACTAGCTGATTTAGTTGAAGGTTTTTAGATCTGATGAATGCTCTGTAGTAACGATAACAAAAAAACCCTGCTTCATTACTCATTGTTGCTATCTTACTACTTTGGGACGATGTATAACATACTGTGATCAACAATAGATGTTTAACCAGCTGCCAGGATCAATGTCAGGATATCTAGAGTGAGATAAATATATAAGCCAGTTATCTTAAGAGTCAGAGCTTCGGTTTCTTCACATAGGGAGACAACTGCTCCTCACATCCCAGCAGGTTTAAGGTCTTTTACTCTGATTTTGAACCAACCAACCAAAGATCTTATTTAGTGACAACACACTAATGTCATTACCCCAGTAAGATGAGCTCAAGATGTCATCTCTAGATTCTGACCTCACCAAGTTCTTAAAACTAAAATATTGTGATTTGATGATGAAAACCTGATTATGATGTTATGACATAATAGGTCAATATTAGCAGAGTGAAGATCTTTGAAAGAATAGGACTGTAAACTATTAAAGAGCTAAAGCCAAGCGGTGCTGTCCTGGGTTGGCTCATTCCTGGGCCGTTTCATCCATCCTGTTAACTTTTTAAGAAGGTTTCTTCTTTAATCTTACTCAATTAATCACCGTTACTCTCTTGAACTGAATTTTCAGACAGCTTTAGGTAGAGTCTCTAAATAAAGTTTCATCTTCTCCTTCTTCATGCTCCTCTTTTTGTCTGGAAGCTGTAAAGGTTGTGTTTTAAACATTTACAGACTTACAGGTGGTTCTTTAATTTCCACTGATGGAGGAATGATGTTTTTTTTCTTCTGTTGTCTTTTATCCTACTTCATGTTGTCAGACCAGTTCTATAGGTGGTCAGAAAGGAATCAGATCTGGGTTTGGCTAGAGAGATTTAACTAAGAATGTTGTTAAAAACAATCAGTCCATGTTTTAATGGGTCGCATAAGGTCAGGATGGTTGGTAGAGCCCTTTTCTAATAATAGAAGAAATCACTGAGACACATAATTAATCAAATTAATCAGAGATGTTTTAGTCTCATATTAAAGCTTCTTTGATGATTTATATGTGGCTAAGAAAGCAAATAAAAGGTCAATCTTTACGACGGTAAATACTTTTGTTTCCTGTACTGCAAAGAAGTACAAATGAGTTCAAATGAGCTCCTTAGTAGCTCAGTCTGGCCTGTTGAGAGACGCCTCGTCAGCTCAGACAGCAGCTAACGTGGCGAGCGTCAGGTCGGGTCATCTCTCCAGTTTCCTTGGTGGCCCTAAGGCCGGATTTGTAGAAACTGCCCACTGCAGGAAGCAGCTGGGCTTGTGTCCCGTTGGTTTTTGTTGGTTTCCTGGGAAAGAACTGGTCCGAATCAACCAGCGCCGGGCCAGAACTGGACAGCTCCGCTGTTGAGTGGAGGTTTTGTCCGCGTCTTATTTTCATGTTAAATTTCAATTTTGTGAAGGAGTGCATACGTGCATGAAAAGTTGGTGAGCGGCCGCCGCCGTTGCAGTGTGTATGTGTGTGTGAGAGAATCGGGGGGCGAAGAGGCCGGACTAGAAGTTTCTGAGGCTTCCTGGCGGCCGTGACGGTCCAAATGTTTACTGGTTTTAAACCTTCAAGCTGTCAGTGTGTGAAACAGGGTGGAGAAAGTGTGTGTGTCCAGCTTTGATGTGTGCGTTGTTGTTGCCTAGTGTGTGAAAGTGGAAGGAGAGTGTCTGTTTTTTTTTTTGTGCGTGTGTTTGTGTGACAGCGGATGACGGATGGGCCGGCAGGACGGAGCAGGGGACGATGAATGAGGTGACAGACAGAGACGGATAGCCCTTTATCCCTCCGTCACAATCCCTCTTTCTCTCTCCTTCTCTTCTCTTTCTCCGCCTGTCGGGATGATGCAGTGCCTCTTGTTCTCTCGCTCCGAGGAGGAGAAGGAAGGGGCAAAGATGGGGAGAAGAAGAAAAGGAAAAATTGCATTCATCTGGCATCGATGTTTACTTCAAACCCCCTCCTCCTGCTCTCTCCTCCAGCCTCCATCTTCCTTCATCCACATCCTTCCCCCTCCTCTTGTCTTTCTTTTGCCGATCAGAGTTATTCAGCTCCTTGGCTCTTTCATTTCTTTTTCCGCCATTGTTTTTTCATGCCCTATTCTTATCATATCAAAAGATGCACATTCCTGCAACCCCCATACGTGCTTTCACACCTAACCTCAGCACATCTGCCAGAGCACATCTTCGCATGCCATCCGCTTTTTGTCGCAAGGGAATTTTCATGTTTTTTTTACGTGACTTTCAATCATGCCCAGGAGTCTCTGTGACAATCTGTAAATGTTGGTGAATGGTCGATAAATCAAGCTGAAGGGACCGTTTTGTTGCGTGCTCGGGTCCCGGTGTTCTGAGAGGTTCTGGGGTCCTGGGACAGGGCTGAGGCTTAACTTTTGTCTTTGGTGCTTTCATCTGCTTTTCTGTTGATTTCCATCTTCTTTTAGATAGCATTTAAAATCTGTGTCTTATAAAAAGACATTGGTCCAGTTTTTAAGACTAATTCTCTATCTTTAGATTTTAATGGTCATTATGTTGTGGATTTTATCTGAAAGAACATAAAGCTTCTTTTAAATAAAAGAAAAACCTGTTAATAGTGAATCATGGTCTCTTCTTTAATTCTGGTACAATTAAATCAATTCCAGTGTACGTTTGATCAAATTACCGGGGGATCTATCTAATTTGGCTTTTGTTTAATTTGAAAAATTCCTCCATCTTTAAATTGTATTCCTCCTCGATCAATAAGATCCCGTAGATCCAGTCGTAGTGCATCCTGAACTCTCTGAACAGACAAGAGGAGCAGTGATTGGAGAAACGGATCAGAAGCCATAATCTGTAGGAGCTGCAAGGAAAATGTGCAGCTTTGAAGAGAGAATCTATCCAGAGGACAAAGTCGCTCAGTCTGAATACGAATCAGCCGCGATGCAGGCGCCTTGGAAAAAGTCACTCATACTCTGAATGTTGTGACCAGCCCTGCCCAGCTACGTCTCCGGCTGCAGAAACGGCGCGCTCAAGAAAATAGGTTTGTGTGGGTTCACACAGTTTTAGGGAGTTTTAGGGCCAAACCCCTTATTAGTGCACATAAATACCCAGTGTGATATGAGTGTACATATCAGAACATAAAATCAATACTCATTGATTTTAAATGAAATTTTAGATTCCTTAGGTGCTCACAGTGCAGCTGAACTCCCTTCAGTGTGGACTCTGATAGGATGTAAAGAGTTTCTAAGAAGGCTGCTTCTATTTTGTGTTTAAAAAAATGTTGGATTCAGACTATTAATGGAAGAAGTCATTCATATCCGAAGGGGTGAAATTTTTGGTTTTTTGGACTTCTAGCAAAGCCCTTTTGGTCTTTGTAGACGGAGGCGGCATCTAGATGCTGTGGGAAGCTTATTAGAATCGATGGGGAGAACGTCAATGTTCAAAGAAAAGCAGTTTGAGACTGCAAAAGTATTAAGACTGAAAAATTGAGCAAGCAACCCTAAAAATATCAAGTTTGAGGTGCTTTATTTAAACAAAGAGGCAAACTGTTCAGCCTGTAGATGTTGCAGAGGTAGAGAGATACTCCAAAACAGCCGCATCAAAATGCATCAATAGGATTAAAATAAGTCCTCACCCTCATCTGCAGCTGTAAACTTTCTCATGTCTTAGACTGTTTGATCTCAGGATGACAGCAATGCATTCAAGTGCTTCAGACAGCAGAAGCAGCTCCATATCATGATACCCCCTCTTCTGTGCTTTAATACTACTGATGCTGTGAATAATAATTTTTCTTACCAAACTAACATCAGAGGCTTTCACCTGTTTTGTTCCCACATGTCAAACATTTGTCATCACATAATCACCTTTGGAAGATTCTGATAAAGCATCATTGCTCATTTATGCTTTGAATATACTCATATTAAATACCTATATAGTACAATTTATTATCAAAGTAACCAATTATTTTTTTTTTTTTCCAAATTTGGTTAAACATCATCTCTCACCCTCTTCAACAAAACCATGAAAAGATCAGACATTTTATCAGTAAGCTGTGGTTATACTAACTCTGGTTAATTTAAGCCTTGGCTGGGTGTTTTTATCCCCCATGCAATTGTACTTTTTAAGTAAATATTTGAAATATTTC